CTCCTCCTCATGCACAAACAACAGATATTCATGTTTTATAAATGTGTGCTGATGTCACTGTAGGAGGAACTGGGCTTTATAAGAAACCAAGGACTGAGGCCTCTCTGATGGATTAGGATGATGGGAATAACTCATCACTGACAAGATTCAGCTTTAACCAGAAACTTTGTCAGAGTGTCCAGTGTCAAAACGTTAGCAGTTTGAGTCTATATATAAGCAACTGGAAAGTGACCAGGGACCAAGTTTACAGCTAAGCAAATGACTGAAATTATGAAGCCTGGACTTCTTTGGGTTTAGGACGATGTGTGATTCTTGTGACCGGCGTATCAGCCCCATTGTCCTTGAAGACAGAAAGGGTGAGTGAGCCCAGTGCCTAAGTCAGGTGCAGTGGAGAGAGGAGCAAAAAGAAACATACAAAATTTCTTGGAGAAAAAGGAAGCTTTTTGGTTTATTTAAACTTCTTAGAAAATTTTAGCCAAATTTTTATTTTCAAGATATCACATATAATCACACAACAAGACTCACTGCGGCTTTCGGTGTAGGTTCCTGTTTGGTTCTGAGATTGGAAGAAAATGAAAAGCAAAACTTCACTTGGATTAAAGTTTGACAAAAGTTGAAACTGTCTAGCATTTCTGAAATATCACTAAGAAGACCTAGTATGCATAGAATATTCCCAAAACAAATGACACTTCAGGAGAAAAGATGGAGGAGAGTAAAAATGAAATCACTTGAAAATGAAAATGCCTCTTTCTCATAATGCCTCTTTCTCTTCTTTACTGTGTTTATTGATAGGTAGCTCTCATGAATAGGGCACAGGGTGTCACCTGAGACACGCTTAGAACTGGTTCACTGGGAGTCTCTCTCACTGCAGTAGAGATAACCTCAGTGATTGGGCATTTATTCACTTCTTCTTAATTTCTATTTTTTTTTTGATTCATGAAAACTTTAATGAGCAGTTTCTATGAATCTCAACAGATCATAATTAATACAAATCTACCAACTTTCAATTATGGATGACAACAAATATACTACAGTAAACATCCTACTGCCAACCTTCAATATTTTCTTTTCTTACATTGCTCAGAACTAGCGTTTCCCAGCAGTAACAACACGTATTCGTTCATTTCTTATGAAGGCAACGTAAGTGTTTGGTGAGTTTTCTAATGTAAAATGATTTCCAGAATTGATCATGAGAGAGGCAGGCCCTGTGAGAACAAAGCCTGTCCTCTGCAAAGCCTGAAGGACTTGGCCTTTTCTGAAGCCTGGTTAATAATCCACCCGCCTGACATTCCAGTGGTTACTGTGAGCTACAGGCAGGTTCCCCTAGACATTTTGAGTTTCCAAACAAATATTCCTCATTCTGATAAGAAGAAAACATTAATCTTCTGCAATTTACCTTATCTTTTAGAATAGCTTGCAAACTAATAATGCAACAAGCCAATGAAGTAACTTTTTTTGTATTTTTATCTGTTGTTTATCAAGGGATATCGAAATATCAGTCTTATCAGTTACTATGCTCTATATATTTAATGAAATTGGAGATTATTTAAATACTGAATATTGTGACTCAGACTAAGTTATTATTGAAATAAGTATAATGCTTGATGACTTTGTTAATGAAAATTCAAAAATCTGCCAACTGCAGCCGGACACCTTCGCCTGGGGATCCGGTCCTCTTAGCCTGGGCCACCCAGAATGTAGCCTTGAGCCTAGGGGAAAGGAGGAGATGGTTCTGAATAGGAAACAGCTGTCTTAGATCACAAGTGTGTAGGCCAGGAAGCCAGAAAGAGTGTAAAAAGCAAAGCAGCAGATCAGAAACATTATTGTGTTTGAGATGATTGTGGTGCTGGGTGCACCAACACTCAGGGCTTCAGAGGGATCTCCAACTGCAGAGTGAAAAATTCCTCAGGTGCTCTCTGAATTATCAGAAGGAGAGCAAAGATCATCAGGGTGAACTATGGTATTTTACATTCTTCGTTTTATTAATTCAGCACATCTTGTTTGAATGTTCACTAGATCACATACTTTAAGAATATTAAGTCTTACAAACTTGTGACAAGTAGCTGTTCTTATATCTACATCCTAGATGACAGAACAGCACAGAAAGGCTGAGTAAATCACACAGTCACACAGCTAATAAGTATGAGAAAGGGATGATAAATTCTACAGTGTCCAACTCACCCGGCCATTGCCTTCTATCAGTCTGCTGCAACCTGCAGGGGAGATACTGAATCACGTCTATTCTAGGTTCTTAAAGAGCCAATCATCTTCTGAGGGGTGGTTTGAAAAGCGAGCAATTGTTTGCATATCAAAAAGTGCTGTTATTGTTTTAAGCCATGCATGAATTTTTCTTCTTTTTTGATTTAATACCTAAACTGGTTACCTTAGGGAATGGAGAAACTAATTGGGTAGCGTTATACAAGGTTGAACACATCGATGACTGCTTATGCTTCTCAGTTAGTTAAAATGCAAAAAGGTTGAAACCTAATTGGCTCTAACCATTATTTAATTTATTTCACACTTGGCATTCCCCGGTAGAACTGCAAAAGGTAAAGTGTTGTTGTGTCTTCGTTTAGTTACTGGAGTTCTAGAAGGCCAAGAAGGTTCCAAAGTCATTCATGAATAGCACTGCAGGAAAGACTGCCTCTGCCCCCTCCCTCAATCCTGGAAATAAATTCCAAGAATTCCACTTTCCCATGGCTATGTGGTATTTGGGCCCCAGGAGGTCTACCTCCCATGGTGGTGCTGATGGCTTCACTGATAGTCTACCAAGCTTACCTTGGTCTTGCCTCCTCTCACCCCCAGTGGTAACACTGCAGCCAATGCTTCCTCTCCCTATGTTTGATAAACCTGCTCTCCTCTTTCTTTTATGTCTGCCACCCCAAACCCTATTTTCCTTGAGAGTTGTGTTTGGCGTTTTCTCAAGGTCTAGGAAATGCTCCTCCGTGCCTGCAGTTCACACTGTACAAATGCCCAGACTCACCTAGGACAGCCCAGCCCCACACAGGGCTTCACTACATGGACATTAATGCGAGGGAAGTCTCCCCACAACTCCAAGTAAGAATCAGACACAGGCTTCCCACATCAGAGACAAATTTAGAGTGGACATTGGAAGCCGTGGGTCAGCAGCTGAGAATACCTAGTGAGTGTCTCAGTCGGTGTGCAGCACCAGATTTGCAAAATCACTGAAAAAATCGGCACAATAGTAATACTAATAGTTCAGTGTTGGAGAGCTCTAAATGGTACCCTGATGGGTACCATAGGAGTTGATTGCTTTATAAAATTAGAGCAATATATAATAACATTTATTAGGAATTTTAAAATTCATTTGTAATCCAATGATCCAGCAATGCCATGGACATTATTTTAAAAGAAGGAATGCACAGACTTGAACTTGAGTAATGCAGAGCTATAAAAATGAAGTATAATTTTCCTTTTGCATCCCTTCTACTCAACTTTCTCCTCCTGAAGAGGCTTTTCCCCTCAAGATGGTTGCTGTTCCACCATCCAATTTGACTTGAATTTATCTTCAGTCATCCAAGAGAATTCTTTAAGTGTAGATACACAACTTTTAAAATGAACATAATTGACAGCACACTATATACTCTATTATACACTTTTAACAAATTAATACCTTTTGGAAACCCTGTAGCATAAACCTTCAACTTACAAGTTCTGAATGTACCCTGATTTCATTTGAATTCTTACACTATATTTCCTAGCCAGTTGACCTGGAAAACATTACTGAATCATTCTACATCTTTATTTCTTCACCCATAAAACGGGGACACTGATACCTTACAGAACTTACCTATTGATGAGTAATCAAAAGGTAGTATATAAAAAACGTGGGCCTCAGCTTCATGAACTAAAAAACATGTTTAATTATAATTATCATCAGTACATAACTCCAATTTTTAGTAGTTATATAACCTCCAATTAAATAAATGTACTTTAAAAATTGATCCTGAATTTACTGGTAACCATTTAAATTATTTCCTGTTTTTATGATTTTTAGTTTTGTTTTTGCTGTTTTGCTATTACAAACAATGCTGCCATACACATTCACACCTGGTTCACTGACATTTAAGAAATTCTTACAAGAAATATTTGGCGAGAATTCCCAAAAGTTAACTCCCTGGAGTTGAACTGTGCACTTTAACTCCTAATGTCTGTAGTGCACAGATATATGGGCTGGCCCTGGGGCTGCCCCCCAAGTGGGGCCTCAGTTTACATTTCCCAGAATGTAAGATTGCCTGTTTGTCCTCACGCTCACCAACAATCGTGCTACCAAGATCTTAAAAATATTTGTCACCCTAAAAGGTAAAAAAGCAATCTGTCGATTTTGTCTCCACGATTTTGAACATTGCGTTTAATCTTTTTGCCCTACAGACATTTTTAGTATTTTTATAAAATCACTGCTTTCCTATTTCCTTTAATATCTTGCTTAGAAAAACCTTCCAGATTCCCCAAGAAAATTGTTTTATGCTTTCCTCAGGATTAATTTTGTTAAGTTACACTTTTCTAGAAAGTGTAACATTGGTTTTGTTTTCAAATTCGCTTTAACAGAGTTTTGCACATTACCCTATTAGGATTCTAATTTTTGTTGCTTTATCTGAGACCCCTCACCAATATGGATATTTAATATTTAAGTGTGCAGGTGTTCTTTCTTGCACCGTCATTACTTTTGGTGTAAATTAACTGACTTTGGTATGCTGTGCACCCTCTGTCGCTTTCTCATTCCTGGAGTCCAGTCCTGAAGCAGCTCCACGCCGGCCTTTCTGCAGGAATGCAGAGCCAGAGAGCTCAGGCTGTGTGTGAGGCCTTTCCCATTGCTAACTCTCAGCCGGGGTCTCTGAACCTTTCCAGTGTTCGCTCTCACTGGAGGGAAGAGCATGCTTCCCAGAGAATAATAACAAATGCGGTGCTTGGAGAATCGGCCCTGGCTTCAAACAGAAAGTCTTAATTGTGTTTTCTGTCTTTCCTTTTATTTTTTCCAGTCAGGCATGATACGAACAGAAGAGGCAGATTACTTCCTAAAGCCACTTCCTTCACACCTCTTGTGGAAACTCAGCAGCGCTGCCCAGGGCAGCTCCCCATCCCACATACTATATAAGAGATCCACAGAGCCCCACGCTCCTGGGGCCAGTGAGGTCCTGGTGACCTCCAGGACGTGGGAGCTGGCGCATCAACCCCTGCACAGCGGTGACCTTCACCTGGGACTGCCACAAAAACAGCATTTCTGTGGAAGACGCAAGAAATGTATGTAAGGGCGAATCTTTGCGTGTATTTAGTGATTCTGACATTTATGTAAGCTGATGGAACCTTGTACATTTTCTTCAAAGCGTGTCTGCCACGAGGTGAAATCTATTGATCTGTCGTTGCTAAACTGAAGCAATGATTCCAGAGAGAGTCCCTTATCTGTAAGTTCAGCACGGGACGTCTCTCCATAGCAGATGGATGGATAATGGTAAATGATGTTTTTTAGGAACTCTTTCCTGGGCAGATTAAATGACACAGTGTGCAGAAGTGAAGAATCTACCAGACATCTTCAAAAGAACCCTGGCATCACTACTCAGTCCTTCTATATTTTTGAGGTTTCAATTTATTCAAGTCCACATAGTTTTCCTGCTGAGGCAATTCATTTATATGCATACTTATATACATTACCACATCAAAAGGGCAGACTCAGTGTGACATAATATACCTAGAATTTATCACGAGGCTTTATCAAAGTCTTTTTTGTCATGACCATTTAGGAAATGACTTGTTATTTACATTTTATGTAGAAACCTCTCAGAAATTCAGGAATCGAAGTGGGGTACTTTGTGGGATGTGCCTCACTTCCTTGAGCTCTCTCCTCAAACATCACTGGGTGAACCTTCCCCAGGAGCCTCTGGACAGCCCCTGCTCCCCCCAGCCCATCGTTTCCTGCTTGGTTGGTTTCTATGACTGCTCTACCCAGCACCCTGAATAGAGGCAGACCTGTTGCAAGTGCTTAGTGAATCTCATTGAATGAGTGAATGAACAAAAATCTCTTGGCACCTACAACAACAGAATTAGTGCTTGTTAAACCATCAGTGCCTTTGCATCCTCCAAACCCATTTCATCCTACCCCCAAAAGTCATATGCTGCATTCAGATGACTTGAAAACGTCACAGCCAGATGAGCTTAGTGGGCTCAGGTGTAGGGGAGGTAGCAGGAAGAACCATGCTGAGAACGAAGGGAGGTGAGCAGGAGGCTGAGAGAGTTGGGAATCCTGAGGTTGGGTGAGTGTTTGAAAAGGGTGTGCATATCAGCAACAGCTGCCCGAGGCTGCCTTGACTGGCAGGTCAGGACCCAGATGCATGCTGGAGGCATCCACAAGGTCAGAGCCAGGACTCTGCTGCCAGGGCTCATGGTATGGGTGTGGTCAGAGCAGGACACATTCCATATACCAAGGAGATAAAGTGGCCCACACACCTGGATCTCAGCAGGAGAGATAGCAGGGCCGTCTTAACCGCTTTGACAGACCACACACCAGGCTCTTAAGCAGATGCTGCAGTGGACCTTGAAAACATCAAGCAATGCAGACCATTGTGAGAGAACTGTGATCCTTTCATTCCTCTCTGAAGGTGGTCACCATCACTCAGGCTGGTGGCACAGCTTAGGCACAGCTGTGTGTGCAAGGCGGTAGAGATGACCCTCAGTGGTGTCCACATCTGGGCATGTGTGCATAGGCATGTGAGTGTGTGTGTGTGTGTGTGTGTGTAGTGTATGTTGCCTTGAGAGACATTTCAGAATCGTAATAGTGGTGGTAAGTGAAAGGCAGTTATTTGAAAAAGGATACTAAACTCTATAATACAGTTTGTATTTGAAAAGTTTAAAAAAGTTCCCATGGTCTTCACAATAAAACTAGAGAAAGAAAGCTCAACAAAATGCCTCTTGGAGGTGGGGAACATTGGTGATTGACATCCTGCTGCTTAGTTTGCCACATATTTCTGTCCCCTCTGGGCTATGCTGGTGACGGTACTGCACTCCTGGGCCTCGAGTGGCCAGGGGCCATGTGACCAGCCCAGTCCCCGGAAAAGTGGGCAGAATCAACAGAATTGACAGCAGTTCTTCCCACTGGTGCGTGCATCTTCAGGGCCCTGTGTCACCTGTTCATGGACGCACCCCCAGGTCAGGTCCTCGTGTCACCTGTGCGTGAATACACTCTACCCCCAGGGCCCCATGTCACCAATGCACAGATGCACCCCCCAGGACACTGTGTCACCTACGCATGATGCACCTCAAGGCCTTGTGTCACCTGTGCATGGGCACATCGTCAGGGCCCTGTGCCATCTGTGCATTGATATTTCCATGTTGTCCCTGAGGCTTTTGGACTTTCCCTTGAACTCAGAGCAGTCCTGCTCTTCTGTCTTGGTGGAATTCACACTTACAATGGTTCTTTCCTGTTAGAGTCTCCTGTTCCGAAAATGGGAGCCTTTTCTGTGTTCACTCAGGCATTTTTCGGTGGAAAAGGGCAAACAGAGGCAGGTTGATTTGCTGAAAACCAATAGTGAGGTTGGACCTCAGGCTGATTAGTGGACTGGCTGCCCTTCAGGTGATGGTGGGTGTGCAGCTGGGACCTGTGTGTTCTGGGGACAATGTTGCAAGCTCCGTAGTAAGGGGCAGTCATTTGCTGAGGGGTTTTCAGAGCCAAGGCCCATGAGATCACCACCCCACGGAGTTTCTGACCCCTGCCCCCAATACTGAGGACCTGCAGCTGCTGGGTCCTGTGCTAACATGTTGTTTTCATCCTAAAGACATTTTTCCACCAGTGGTAATTAAGAACAAGAGCTCTAGGACCACACTGTCCAAATCTGATAGCCATTTCCAACACTTTCGAAGGAAGGGGTGTGAGCAAGTCATGTTCCTCTCCTCTGCCTTCACGACCTCATCCTTAGAACCCCGTGCTCAGGCTGGGGTACAGACTGCACGAGTTACACAGAGACATCGCCTAGGGTGGGGCTCACACCTGTGGGCATTGCATAAACATTAATGGCAAATGATGAGTGCTCAGTAAACATTAGCTGGTATCATTATTATTCTCCAAAAGCTTTATTTAGTTTTGGAAGTATGTTAGCAAAGGAAAATAAAATGTGTTGGATGCACTAGTCAAACAAAATAGCATCTGCTTACAGTATGCTCCTCGAATACAGTCTGCATAGATTTTGTGTGCACGCCACCTAAATATCTGGGCTTTTTGAAGTCCAGTTTCACATGAAACAATTTTAACCACATTTTCTGAGGCATCCACTAAACCTAATTGTTTTCAATGTAGTGTTAACCTAACGATTATACATGCCAAAAATATTTTTAAAGGGATTACTTCAAGAGAAAAGTGTATGCTTTGTCTTCTAATCAAATTACATAAATATTTATGGTACTTTCTAGGAAATTAAGCTCTTCAGTGAAGTGGAGCTGCCTCAAGCATTTTATAATCCACTGGAAACAGTGTAGACAAGCTAGTTATGTGTCCAGACATTGAAATCAACTTTAAACATTGTCAAGTCATTAAAAGTCTTCAAGTAGGAAAACAGTGCAAGCCAGCCAGCTCGTGTTCTTGTAATTATTTGTTCCATTGCTTTGTCTTTGCAGAGGAATCTGTTCTACAAATCCCTATGCTCAAAGTTTTTGAACCCTTTTGCTACCAGATGCTAGGAGTCAGAGTCAAAGAGTGCCCTTTCTTGCTGTTTTAAATTAGGATGAAATGATATAAAGGGAAATACAGCCACGATTTCCATGACGCCTAGACTACATGAATTTTACTTAAATTTAGGATGCTACTTTCATACAAGCTTCTGCATCACAAGGTTTTAAAGGTTATGTGGTTTTTATCATAAGCGTTCATTTTTGAGACCAAATTTCTCTATGATGAGTTATGGCTCTGATTTTGTGTGTGACTTATGCTTTCATTTGCCCTCCATATGTCCCTCCATAGACATGCCCCAGCCTCCCAAGGAAGACCTCTTCATCTTGCCAGATGAGTATAAGTCTTGCTTACGGCATAAGCGCTCTCTTCTGAGGTCCCATAGAAATGAAGAACTGAACGTGGAGACCTTGGTGGTGGTCGACAAAAAGATGATGCAAAACCACGGCCATGAAAATATCACGACCTACGTGCTCACGATACTCAACATGGTAGGATCGTCCTTCCAGTTGAGGCCATCTGTGTCATTGCACTTCATGGGGTGTGTGTGTGTGTGTGTGTGTGTGTGTGTATTGATGTTTCATATAAGAAACATGTGGATTTACTTGTTACCTGTGGATTGATGTTTCATATATGAGAAATATTTTACTGGTGATAACTCATTTAGTTTTCCATGCTCCAATGAAAAGAGCCATTTTCAGAACTTCATAGACTAATTCAGTAGGAAAAAATCATTTGACCCTCTCAACAAGCCTCTGTAAGCCTATGAGATGTTTTGGGCTTACTAGTGTCTATTTACTGGAAATATTTACTGGAAATCTCTAAGGGGATGCTGTAGTGCAGTAAATCTGATTATCAGCATTAGATGTGTGATTTTAGATGGCTCTATAGAAATGCCCAACTTTTTAGAAATATTAATGTTCAAATGCTAAATATAAATTATTTTATCTATAAAAACAGGGGGAAAGTGCAACCTTTTAGAATATCATCTCAGGTTAAATGTGTTTGTGTCTCAAATTGTCAGCTGTATTGATCACTGAAGAGTGATGAGAGATATACTAAGCCTCATTTCATGTACGTTAAATCTAAGTAACAGAAGACAAAATCTTGGGTCACCAAAGTGTGATTTTAACAATAGTTTTAATGACAATATTTTAAAAGTATGTCTTTACATTCTTCTGCCTCAATAAACAGAGTACCCCTGAATGTGCCCATTTTTCCATGATGTCATGTGATTACTATGGCTAGTGTCATTTTTGGTAGACTGAACCACTCGGTTTCTGGTCTCCCAGGAAGCCAAGGAGGCAGTGAAATAGAGCCACCTTCCCACCACACGGGGTCGAAGCATTGCCCTGTTGTCCTCAGCAAACTGCTCTGATGTGTGGAAGTGTTTGCCACTCTTCTGTAGAGCTTTTCCAATATTTCCACAGCTCAGTGCCAAATCGCTTCAGGTTGCATTCCATGGTAGTCGTGCTGTTCCTGCTCACCACCCCAAATGCCACTCTGGTCATTCATTTCCACTTCCATGATCTATCATCTCTAATGTTTGTGTCTTTCTCTCATCATCTCATTACCACGATTTTTTCCTTCTCTTTCTTGTATCCTCTTGGAATCCCGTAAGTGCACGAGTTTCTCTTGCACTTGTGGAATTCCTTGCCAAAAGAGCTTGAGAAGTGATTGGTTTCTGTAGTCATCATGATTAGCTTAAAAATCCTCTTTATATTCTAAGAGGAACACTTACCAACTCACAGTCTTGTGATCCTTTCATAGGTGTTTAACAGTAAGAGGTGGACCCCACTCCCATCTGAAGCTTCGGCTTTTTACAGGGATATGATTAATATATCTGTCTGCTTAAAATACAAGAAAATTAACATTGCTCTGTCATTGAAGAACAAGAGCTTTGGATTCTAGGCCCACTAGTAAGTATGGGGGGAAATGCCATTTATGGGGCTAACATGGATTTCCTGTCTTTTTCAGGTATCTGCTTTATTCAAAGATGGAACAATAGGAGGAAACATCAACATTGCAATTGTAGGTCTGATTCTTCTAGAGGATGAACAGGTAGTTTATTTGAAACTATCTACTCTTTCTACTTCCAGAAAAGTAAATGCAAAATAATGCGTTTTTCTTTAATGTAATTGTTCTATGGGTTCTTCTCTCTCGAGGGCAACAAGTATTTAATATTTTGTGTTTTACTGCAAATGAGTGTCTTTTCAATTCTTTTAAACTTTTTTTGGAGTTTTTGTGGGGTTTTTTTGTGCAAAAGTGGTAAGAAATTATCCTTTAATTGGCCTGTAAGAAAATGGCATGTAAAAGCTGCCTTCAGCATATAGGTGGGACACACACTACGAATACATAGCACACAATATATCTTAGCCATCATGAGCTTTCAGGATGCCAGTGGCAATGAGCCCTTTCTGCTTTTTATTCGATTATCTCCCAGCTCTTAACCCTCACCATTTGCCACCATTTGCAGTCTGAGATTTTTATTTTTATTAAGATTTCTATGGACTCTCAAGTGCGTTTCCCTCACTGCATGCTTTAAAAACCCAGATTACACTGGATCTTGGTAGCAGTGTGTTAAAGATCCTTTGCCTTCATTTGTGACCCCTGTAAATGCATAGAGGTGGTCCCTTCACAGTGAGGATGGACATGAACACCTCGCGGCATAAGTAATGGGGAGGCGTTATAGGCACAAAAGGCTCTCACTTCCATTTTTCCCCAAGCTAATCATTGACTGAGTGAAGAAGAGTGGGTGCTAGACAGTAGCCAAGTGCCCAGCCTCAGCTCCACCCTTGCTGACATTTTCAGAGTCCCCTTTTAGCCACAGTTTTCTTATTTATAAAACAAAGAATTTTTTAGATGAAACCTGAGATCATTCATAAGATCTAAGATGCCTTCGATGTTAAAGTCCTGGGATGCTGCTCTTTTTCTGTGCAGGGTTGGGGCATGTGTGGACGGGCTATTTCTAGTCTGACTAGTCAGGGAAGATACGACCTCATTGTCTTTTGTGTGAGTGCGCAGTTGGGGAGAGGGCTGCTGAACATGCCGGGCTTCTCAGGTGACAGGTTAATTATTCCTTGTATTAAAACATTTTCGCCTTGGAATTCATCCAAGCTGCAAAGAATAAGTGAGGTTATCGTTTGATCGTACACCTGTGTTAACTTTAATTAATGCAGTTTTCCTGGAAATCACCTGCTAAAGAACGCAAGGCATGCCCCCATGTTTATGTGTAGCGTTTAACTTGGGTATATTTGACTTTCTGGAAAAACAAAATAAACATTTCAGCAGAAAACGTATTCAGTGACTGAGAGACAAAAATTTCAATACGACATTCTAACAGTGAAAGCTTTAAACAAGTCAGTGTCCTGAAGTTGAGGTAATTAAACCTGGTGTTGTCCAACCAGCCATAGGAAAATTGAGCATGCCAGTGAATAAGATTCAAAAAACTTGGTGCAGCCTGGTCTGATGCATGTTCTTCTATGTCTCAAATTCTTCCGTTCCCAAGAGTTCCAATGTTCTACACCCTGTTACTTCTTGTTGTGTTATCCGAACTTGATAGAGACAGAGGAAGTTGAACATGGCTTGCAAAGTCTCCTTTTCGTTGCAGTTTATTTTCCAGAAACAAAGCTTTACCAACTGACCTACCTCCTCTCAGAAATATGCTGCCTTTGAAGAAAAGATATTTCATTGAACACTGTAATAAGAAATATTAAAAGACTTATTTATTGGAAATCCCACTTGCTTAATTTGGTTATGAGATAAACATATTGCTGTCTAGACGTGTTTTTGTATATGTATGTGCAAAGCCAGGTATAAATGATTCTGTGGCTTTACTTAATTTTGAAAAGTGTTTTTTAAAGATTTTTGAATACAAAACGTTCATGCGCAGAAGTAATCTTTCTTGGGTCATTGAACATGCATTCAGGATCGGCCAGATACATTTCAATTGTTTATGTATGGAACTAGAGAAACGTCCATAAATGTGTACACTGGATCTGTACAGGTTTTATAGAATACATAAAATACATGCATTAACTTATATGCCATCCAGATCCAGCCATGTATTTGAAATCCAGGTCAATGATAATTTGCTGTGATGCCAATGCATTATAACATGTTTTCTCTCCATTATCATGGGGTCCTTGGTCCTTGTCTCTTGCACAGCCAGGGCTGGTGATAAGTCATCACGCAGACCACACCTTAAGTAGCTTCTGCCAGTGGCAGTCTGGATTGATGGGGAAAGACGGGACTCGTCATGACCACGCCATCTTACTGACTGGCCTGGATATATGTTCCTGGAAGAATGAACCCTGTGACACTTTGGGTGAGAACCTCCAGCAGAGTGTGAGGACCATGTGTGGAATGTGCACCCCTGGCCGTGGCACAGAGTGTTGAGTATTTTTGCCCTTGTTCCTTGTTAATAAGCAGTAGCAGCTTCTTAGTGAAGGTGTAAAGACCCACTTCCCTGTACAAACTTTAGCCAAACATAGAAGTATGTTCGCATTCATCAAGACTGATTATTGAACAAGTGAATGTCTCTCACAGATTTCAGAGTTCCTATCTCTTCTAACATAATAAATACATATTTTTTTTCTGTTTCTTCTACTATTTGTGAGAATGGGATGGGTAAATCGAAGGCTTTCTCATTATCTGGTGGAAATAGTACATTGATGTGTATTTGTGGAGTTACTATGACCATATTTTATTTCCTGTTTTTTTCACTTCTCTGTGTCTCAATCTTAGCAGTGTTTTAGACATTTACAGGGCTGGGTGTGACTTAGAGGCAGCACTTTGGGATTTTTCCAGATGGTCTGTGTGAAACACTGTGCTACTGACCAGGACTCTGCTGAACATTTCTTCTAACTCTCCATTTCTTCCCAAGTTCTTAGGGAGGAAGGGGTTTTATTTATAAAAACTTTTAGATAAACCCCAATTTAACAGCAGTTAGTCTTATTGTGCAAAAACAAGTTAACGTGGTGTCCTGGCTGCTTGTCCTTAGACAGGTCTGCTTACCCCGCTGGCTCTTGACTGGCCTGCGAGAACTCAGGTTGTAGGATGGCTCCCACTGCCCTACCTCCAACCAGTGGCTCATTGTGCCTACATTGTGTGTGTACAGTGTGGTTTCCTTCTGAGGGTCTAGAATTCTGGCACACTTCAGGCAGTGGGTGCCTATGTGACCAGCTCCCAGAGAAAACCCTGGACCCTGAGTTTCTAATGAGTGACGCTGGTGGACAACATTCACCGTCGCTGTCACTACTCGTTGCTGAGGAAGAGAGCACATCCTGTGTGACTCTGCGGGGAAAGGACCCCCAGATGTGTGTGCCTGTTTTCCTCCTGACTTCTGCCCATGTGTTTTCCCTTGGATGATTTTTTCCTGTATCCTTTTGCAATATTAAATAATAACTGTGAGTGGGACAAATGCTCATTATGACAGATGTGAATCATTAAAGCCGGGGGTGGTCTTGGGGACCTCCCAGCACACCCGTTCTCTACAGCACTTTTTCACTTGGTCTTTTGGGAACATAGATGTTTAGAATAAGGCAAAGACTTTCCTCCATCTGCAATAGATTCCCCTCTCTGTTTTGCCCCAGTTAGAGCCTGTACCAGGAACATTACATAGAACCATGAATTGTGTTCCACAATACAGAGAGTCCTTGGGCTCCCTGCAATGGAATCCCTTCCCCTACGTTATCAAATGCCCTTTATATGGTTATCTAAGTGCTTCCCGTTACATATTTCCCCATATGAACACAAGAACTAAATTTCACTAAGGGGAAGAAAATAAATATACCATGCTTTATTTTATTACAACACTGCTCTGTATTCTTTTGATCTTTGTCCTTCATAGGATTTGCACCCATAAGTGGAATGTGTAGTAAATATCGCAGCTGCACAATTAATGAAGATACAGGTCTTGGACTGGCCTTCACCATTGCCCATGAGTCTGGACACAAGTAAGTGCATCTCCATGGGAGGATGACGTCCCATGTGTTTTCCTTACTGGATGATTTCCATAGAAATATTGACTTATCACATCAAGTCCATGAAGGGAATTCACATATATCCAACGAGAATGCCATTGACAGTTATAAAATGCTGTCACTTAGGATTTCTGTTTCTATGTGCCACATCATGCAAATTTTATTTTTATTTATTTACTTATTTTGAGACAGGTTCACTCTGTCAATCAGCCTGGAGTATAGTGGCATGACCTCAGCTCATTGCAATATCTGCTTCCTGGGCTCAAGCAATCCTCCCACCTCAACCTCCCAAGTAGATGGAACTACAGGCATGCACCACCATGCTTGGCTAATTTTTGTAATTTCTGGAGAGATGGGGTTTCACCGTGTTGCTTAGGCTATGCACATTTTAAAGCCACAGCAATGTACAAGTTTCCATGTCCCTGGGTCTTTCTCTGACACTCCTGTGTACACCTGTGCGTAAGATTGAGGATAGCTGTATCTGCCCCTATTCCTCTGTCCTGTGTTTTGAACTTGGTCTGGTGGGCTGATCTCATTCCGTGGTTAGCTGCTAACAGGGGACTCTAAATGATGAAGAACAGTGTCAACCCTCCCATTGCTTCCTGCTGTTACCCTCGTGTTTGTGTTCTTGTATGTATGTATGTGTGTGTGTGTGTGTGTGTGTGTGTGTATTTACAATTTATAGAGATGCTATTTTTCATTGGTACTCCAAGCAGAGTTTGGAAGCATGGGTACTGACAAGAGATCGGGCAGGCCTCTAGGAACTGATTTGCCTCTGTTACTCCACCGTGACTGCACCGTTAATGGTTCTGAAATAAAAGTCTCAGGGAGCCCCATGAGCCTGGGGGCTCAACACAGAGGCCAGTCCTAGGTTGGTGGCCTCAGCAATGGGTGGTGGGTCATTAGTGTTTTCACCTTACATGAAATGCTTACAATTGTAGAGTGAACAATTTCTAGCAATTATTTGTGGAAACTATTATTCTTAATACAATTTCTGGGGCTAAAAGTTCTGTGAGCTGCTTTACCTTGAAGTGCCATCTATTAAATAAAAAATTCAAGGGCCCACTTGCTGCCCAAGCAGCTGAGGACTTCCTGCAATCACCCTGATTAATACCAGAACCACCAGCTGGAATGCAAATATTTTCCTGCTATGCTGAAACAATACTTGAAATTTCTCCTGGAAAAATTTACAACCAGGAATTGTAAGTTTTTATTTTTTTAAAATTTCAACCTGATTTTATTGGCAAAAGGAAAAGCAAGGCAAGTGTTTGTGATTTGTGGTTTTGCAAAGCTAACTTATCCATTATTGGAAAATGGACTGAGGCCTCAGACTTGTTCAAAGCAGTGTGTGTGTGTGTGTGTGTGTACGTGTATGTGTGCATGTGTATACACATGCGCTTGTGTTTAATGCGAAGGTTCTGCACGCTTTGGCTGTGTGCAAACTGATGACCTGAAAAATGAAGCTTCATATCTTATTACTGATCCCTTCATCATTGCAGGTAATGATTGACTATTTCATTGCTTAGAAAATTACACCTTCACTTTATAAAGCTTTCAGCTGAATCATAGTTGTATTTTTAATAGTCTGCTAGAGTTAAAACTTCAAAAACCCTCATTATTGTAACAACATGAAGCTCTTGCTGTCCTCTGAACCATACCTGAATTTAATTAAACAATCAAGGCAAGAAATATTTAAGTCACTGAGGGCTGAGCCAGTGAACGTTCGATAAGCAGTTGAGATATGGGCATTGGCAGTGCCAGCCGTTGCAGGTGGTGAACTTAGCTAAGTTAAACTCGAGGCATCCAACACAAGGCCCTCAGTGGGTCTTCAGTGCCAAACAAGTATCAGTGTTGGCATTTATTTTTCTTAGAAGTCAGTTATTACTATTTCCTTTCCTCACTCAAATTGGATGTAGTTGGAAAAAGATTTTCTCCAAACAAGAAAAAAAATGTATTTTCCTGGAAGGTCAGAATCTAGATGTGAATAAAGAAAGAAGCTCAGTTGGGCACGGTGGCTCACACCTGCAAACCCAGCACTTCGGAAGGCCGAGGTGGGAGGATCACTTGAGCCCAGGAGTTCAAGACCAGTCTGGGCAACATAGTAAGACCCCTTTTCTACAATAAATTTTAAAAATTAGCCAGGCATGGTAGTGTGCGTCTGTGTAGTCCCAGCTACTTGGGAGGCTGAGGTGGGAGAATCTCCTGACCCCAGGAAGCTGAGGCTGCAGTCAGTTGAGATTGCACCACTCTACTCCAGCCCGGGTGACAGAATGAGACCCTTTATAAAAAATATAAAAATAAGCCCTACATGTGGATGAAGGAGAGTCCCGTTGCTAATATAGGATTAACTGCCAGAAAGTATCAGATCTTTCTTGAACACCTGACTTCTTCAAGTTCTCTAAAACAGAGAACCTGGAGCTTGTCAGCGAAAACCCTTCTGCCCATGTTGAGAAAATAGGAAATATATTGTATTTATCATGTGCTAAATGCCAAAATGATTGGTAATAATAGTAACAGTAGTAATGGTCATGATAATAGTACTATCTGCTCTTTGTGGAGCACTTTTTGTAAAATTCGCCGAGCAATTTCACGTACAGCTCAAACCATGGAGACCACTGGGGACAGTCCCTCTGTTGCCCTCACTAACTTAGGGGAGACTGTGTGGAATATTCAGCAAATGTGTATGAATGGAGTAGGGGAATGAGTGATGCAGGGCATGAGCAAGCTACACGTGAGGAGTAAACATTTCAAATGAGTTGTTAGCTGTGACCACCACTTCAAATGAGAAAGCTTGTGATGTGTAAGACTCAATGATAAAACTCCATGTATCTTAGTTGAACTGAACTGAAGATAAACACATTTGTTCAGTTCATTTATTTAGTGAGTTTAATTTTTGGAAGAGGGAATGGTAAGTTTGATGCATGGAACAAACATCAGAGCATCAGCAGTCTGCTTTTATCAATGAGCTCCAAGCAGAGTCAAATTTTTGAGTTCTGTAATTCAAGAATTAAAAAGCAATTCTGTATTTATTATGACTTTTACTGTAAAAAACATGTAAAACATCCTGCTTCAAAGGTAAATTTTACTTTTTCAGTGCTGTTGACATTCAGAGGACATTATTTGGGATGGAGGAGTACTTCTGCATGCCTGCAAGCCATAGGTTTCTAATCTTCAACTCAAATAAAGATTTTAGTTAGTGTCCATCCAATCTGTCCTCCTAAATTCCATTTGTTTTTTAATCTCAAAATGTCATGTAGTTTATTCTGGGGAATGTGACCTAAAAATAGAAATTACTAAGAACAGGTGTTTGGATTTGTGTTGGAAAGAGAGGAGCAGAGACTGGAACCAGAACTGAGATATGTATTCTCCTGTAGTACAACAGATTGAATTGGGATTTGTATTAAGCTGGTGGTAAAAGGAGAGTTTCCTGGTTATGTTAAATCACTTGACACAGGACATGTGGTTTGCTAATGCTGGTGCTGAAGCACTGGCACAGATACACCAAGGGCTGAACTGCGCCTTTGGGAGAATATGTCATCTGTGCATGAATCCATCTGAAAAATTCCCATTTGCTAAGGGAAGTCATGTCATTTGATGGGTGGGGCTCTGGCATTCAGATTCTGGATCAGCACAGTGCTACCACAGTCTGGTAGTGACCAGGGAATGTCCCCTTAACAGCTCTCACCTACGTTTCCCATCTGCAAAATCAATAGAGCACTATTTGCTCCGCAATTCATATATGCAAGTGTAATTTAGGTTGCATTGTTTGAGCTGTACATTCCACTTATATAAAATAGGCTTAAATAGCTAAGTTGCATTATCATTTGAGACCATTAAGGTTCTATTAAAACAAATGTGTTAACTGTGTTCAAAAGTATTCATTATTCAACAGTCTGTCTCTTGCATTTTCCCTAGTAAATGGGCACAGTTTGCATTCTGAGAGCAAGGCATTGTGTAGGAGTCTATAAAAAGACTTGTGATCTACGCCCTTTGAAAGTTTAAGAGAAAAGATTAAATAGATATGCCAAGCAAGAGATCAAGTAATGAGAGCTGTTGGTATTACAAGAGACCACACAGGGACGATCAGGGAGGCCTTCTTAAAAGAAGCAGCATTGGGCTGGGCATGGTGGCTCACTCCTGTGAATCCCAGCACTTTGGGAGGCCAAGGTGGGTGGATCATGATGTCAGGAGTTCAAGACCAGCCTGGCCAAGATGGTGAAACCCCATCTCTACTAAAAAATACAAAAATTAGCCAGGTGTGGTGGCAGGTGCCTATAATCCCAGCTACTTGGGAGACTGAGGCAGAGAATTGCTTGAACTCGGGAGGTGGAAGTTGCAGTGAGCCGAGATCATGCCACCACACTCTAGCCTGGGTGACAGAGACAGACCCCATCTCAAAAACAAAACAAAAAAAGCAGCATTGGTGTCACTATTGGTGTCACTACTAGTTAACCTGAAAATACCATTCAGCTCACTCACAGTCACTAGCGATGCCCTTTTCAGTATTTGATGATAAGTGCCTCCAACCCGTTTGTGGCTGTGCTCTGTCATCAGTCTGGGGCATCTTCCAGTGCACCTGGGAGGCATGTGGTGATTTTTAAAGACTTGAAGAATATTGGAGAAAGCCAGCCCCTCTAACCATCATCTGGACTGAGGATTGTTAGGCTGCTCTCTGGGGAGCTGTGGTAGGTCAGAGCATCAGTTCTTACCATTTACATTGGTTGTCTTTCCTCTTAGGATTTCTTTTCTGTTTCTGTGTCCAACAAGTATTTGAACTCCGTTGACATTTGGCCAGACCTTCCCATACACGTGCGTGCACACACGCATACCCACCATGAATGGCACTTAGGTGTTATGTGACTTGACCAAGACCCCATTTGGATCATAGAAGGGAATAGAAGTTTTGAATTTTCCTTGTGATGTGCACAGTCCCAGGCATTCTGTACAGTTCATTAGGAAGGTTTTACTATCCCATTTTGTATATGACGAAACTGAGGCTTGGAAGAGGTCAAGTTAATTTGCCCAATATCAAGCAGCTTGTGAATGACAGAGCCAAGACCCTGACTGAGGTCCCTCCACCTCCACAGTCCATGCTGTCTCCCATTATCTTCCCTGACCATGTCCCTCAGTTCCCCACGACTGCTGTCTTCAGCTCAGCCTTCTGCCTGTCATGGAGGATGAGCTGTGCTTCTCCACACGCCTGCATGAAACCTGCGTCAGGGCTCGGGGCAGTTCAGTCCTACCTGTGGTTGCCATCATTATGCCAAGGGTAGACTTTGACATCCAGATAACATTGGCCCATGGTTCCTTTAAAGAATGTCTCATGTCCTTAACCACTACTGCCTGAACAGCCTGAAATAAGTGATACAGCTTCTATGAACACTTGGTTGGCTGTTCAGCATTCTCAGTATGTCATTAATAATAAACAAATACTTCCCAAGAGTAATTGAATCACTCAAAAATATTGTAGAACACAATAAAAGCATGACATTGAAATACAATTCCCAAATTCAATTTAATCTGAAATTAGGTTTATGTCTGGGTATGTTATGGCTGGAACGGTTGTCGTTTCTTCACTCAACAAACATGAATAGAGACCTGTTATGTACCGTCAGGTCCACTGGCAGTGGGTTAGTTAAGAGGAGTCTCTGTCTTTTAGAAACTTATGAACTAGTAAGGGAGAAAAAGATAAAATATATTTACGATTTTAGCAAATGGGATGATAACCATTTTAAAGTACTATGGTGCACAGGAGCAAGATACATTCTCTGGTCTGCATAATTTGAATATAGTTATATTTCTTTGTTGCCAAATAGCAACCTTATCTTCAAAATGTGTTCTATTCATTCTTCTGTGACTTTATTAATGTTGATATTAAATGCGATCACTGTGTGCTACTTTTATGCTGATCTGCTGGCATTCATTGCATTACAAATGTGGGCATTGTACTGATTGGAGACACAAATTGTGAAATAGTGGTGCTGAGATTTTGGTGGACATCAGAATCACCTGGGGGTGTGTTAGAATATGCCCAAAAGCCAGGTCCTAACCCTCAACCTACAAAATTAGAACTATACCACTGCAGGCTTGGGTAGCTACATTGTGCTATGTATCTCTCAGATGTTGATGCATCAGAGTTTAAGACTTGATACTAGAAAAAAATCATTGAAAATACTTTAAATGTAAAAGTTGAAGACCAAGATTTCCCCAGACTTGGGACATTGTGGATTTTGAATTCCTTAGAAAGATAGGTAGACGCGGTAGCAAATTTCTCAAGGGCAATTTCTGGACCATAATGTGTCTTCTTTATTAGCAGCTCAAGGGTCAGACAGGGGAGGGTAGTTTGGTATTTTGTGTTCCCCCTTTTCTCCCTAAGGCAGCCTGCCATTTGGGATTTCAGCCTGAATCTTTTTCACAGCCATGACACATTTCCTCTGCCATGCGGTTCCTCTGGCCTTGATTAATTGCCTTTAATAGAACTTCAGAGAATGGGTGGAGGCTAAAATGACTACATCTACATCATCCTTGGTACTGATCAGGAATTTTGCAGAAATTCAGCAGTGTTTGCACGCCAGATTTCCTTGGATACAGTCTTCAATCACGTTCAGGTTACACTATTACATGAATCCTGGCTAGGCCCTGACACCAAAGTGTCCAGGCTTCAGCCTTGACTCTGAAACCCTGGATGAAGTCTCTCTCCAGTCCTCGGTCTTGCTGTCTTCATATTAAAGCCACCTTATAGAACTGTGTTGAGTTTTAAATTAGAATATAGGTTACAAGCCTACCATAACGGCTGTAAAATGGTGAGTGCTTATAAATGTTGATTATTTTCTAGTAATATATTACTAAATAGCTCTAAGCAATGCAGTTAAATAGACAAATGTGTCTTCAGCCTAGGTAACAAGTACAGATTCTCTTGACACCGTTTGGAGCTGACTTTCCCCTACATTGGTGTCTTCCTGTCCCTGCTGCCTTCTATCCACTCCTTATGGAATTCTTGGCAGCATAATGTCCCCCATAACTAGAAACCACCATGTCCTTCTTTGCTTTCCCTCTCTCCTGCCTTCCTCCTTTTCTCTGCATCTTACCAATGGGACCCTGTGCTCAGGGAATCCATACAATGGCTAGGTGCCAGACGTTAATGGCAATAGTGGCTTAGCTCTGCCAGAATGTATTTACCTTAATGGGAGGTCTTTGGAGCTATAACATCTCCCAAGGAAGTATGTTGTGTTCTTCTAGGATAATTGAAAATGGGATCATTCAAATGAGCCTTGAGTGTACTCAGGGCCCTCCTACAGCTTTCACAGGTTAAGAAGAAGAAGCAGACCTGCTGGTGAGGGAGGTAGCAGCCCTGGAAAATGTGATTCTCCCAGGTGCACGGCTCCATTTTCTCAGGTGTTATAAAGTGAGTGTTGATTGGCATCGTGGGCTCTGAACACCTCTGATGGCCCCTATTAAGGGTTCCTATAGCTGCTGTAGCTTGAGATGTACCTGTACTCTGAGCCAGGTGTGGATCTCCAAAGTGGTGTGGTTTTCACATAAAAGTAACCTGTGCTGCTTCAAACGACACCCACAGATACATTCAGCCATAGTCATCTGTTGGGTTTCCGTGGAGCTACTCTCTCCAAATAGACAGAGGGATGCAGGTCAAGCGCTGCCCATCCATCACAGCTGCCAGTAGTGCAGGCCTAATAGTTTGAGCTGGAACATCCCCAGGTGGGGCTAGAGACAGAATGTCAGCCCACGTGAGTTGCAGTAGCTGTTTGTAGTTCCCAAATTGCAGTGAGCATCAAACTCACCTGGGGAGCTTGTTTGGAAAGCTCAGACGCCTGGATCTCTCTTTTCTGAGTCAACAGTTCCTGGGTAGAAGTCTGGCATCTATATTTCCAACAAACACCCATGGAAACTCTAACGATCCTGCTGAGCATAAAAGAGTGTGGAGAAAAAGAAGCAACATAGAGCAGTGTTAGCCTAATCAAGAAGATCCCAAGTTCCTCCACGCCATTCAAAACTCAGGCATCTGGACATTTACTCTGCTTTGATATTGGTGTACACTCTCAGGCAATTTGGTGGATGGTCCGTTCTTCAGAAACTGTCTTTGAACACATGAATATTCTCAACCAATTGGCTGTTGTGGCTTTTATTTTTGCCTGCCTAGCATACGGGGGTGAGGGAGTCTCACAGTCTTGACTTGTAATTGTTAGAGGGTATTAGATAATTTAAACTGTTTTTTTTTTTTTTTCTGAAAGAAACATCTCTCTCTTTCTCATAGCTTTGGCATGATTCATGATGGAGAAGGGAACATGTGCAAAAAGTCCGAGGGCAACATCATGTCCCCTACGTTGGCAGGACGGAATGGGGTCTTCTCCTGGTCTCCCTGCAGCCGCCAGTATCTACACAAATTTCTAAGGTAGGAACTCTTTGAGCTGGTCTTGTGATCTTTCAGTGCCTTTGATGCTCACTGCCTGGTCAGCCAGATCCTGTGTAAGCAGCCCCAGGCTGTGCTTCCTGATGTGGTTCCCTTCGAAGGTGTCTTGAGACATTCAGTTGACCTAAGAGTTTGCTAAAAATCTCCTTAGAGTGTGGAGGCCTGCTGGCTTAATCCAACATTGATTCAAAGGGAATCAGTGGCTTGAGACTGAAAGGGAGCCATAAGACACTCACCAAAATATTTGTCACTAACATTTAAGTTTTACTATTCTCACTTCTGTAACTAGGAATCTTCAGGAAGTGAATAGAAAGATCATACATGTACACAGCAGTATACACAATAATAAAGCATAGCTTTTTTTTGGTTTTTCTTCCTTCTGTTTAGTTTTTCTCTTTCTTCTCCTTTCTTCCTTCCATTTTTTTCTTCCTTTCTTTTTTTTCCTTTCTCTCTCTCTTTCTTTTTCTACTAAATGCATTCCTCATTAGGTGAAGAAACTTGAGTATATAAACTTTAACCTAGCTCTAATATTCTGTAATCATCAATAATATTTTTAGAAATTTTCTCTAAACACTTATTTAGGAGATAAAACATTAGGGAGGTAGGGTTTGACCCTTGAAAAATAGTAGATTTTTAAATTTCAGAGAAATGAGGAACTTTATGAAACATTCTTAGAACTGCTAGTTTATACACTATTCCCTGAATCTCTTTGGCTTTGAGTTTGAAGTTTGGTTTCAATCTTAAGCCAAAACTTTATTTCTGACATTACAGTCTAGTGTGGATTGGAATGTCTCTGCTCCACACAGTCCTTCAGAGACCCAGGTTTCTTCCATCCTGTGACCTTTCCTCTTCCAGGACCTAGTTCCCCACTGCAGCTATCTGGGGACTGAGGACAGAGAGAGCACAGGAAGGTGTGCAGGACAAGGGTGGTGTTCCTGGAGGAACTCATATGACCGCCCAAAAGTGCAGAGGTCATTGAGAAATGTCCTCTACCCATGTGCTTAGGTAACAGAGAGCCATCTGTGCCACATGATGAGCCCCAAATCCTTTTGCAGGAAAGTAACTGAAACCTGGAGGGACCAGCTAGTCAATGGCCAAATTGTGAGTAGAACCCAGCGTTCTGGACCCTAGAGGTGATCTCTC